ATATAATATAGTATAGTATAGTATAATATAGTATACTATAGTATAGTATAGTATAGTATAGTATAGTATAATATAATATAGTATAGTATACTATAGTATAGTATAGTATAGTACAGTATAATATAGTATGGTATAATATAGTGCAGTATGAATAGAATCTAGATTGCAGGACAAAACGTATAAATAGCATTTCTGGGCAATTAAAGAGGGAGAAGGGTTTAGGTCCACTCGATGGAGGAAACTTGCCAATTTCAATGACCACATCCCAAGACTTTGCCCTGCAGACGAGAAAGCGAACCACCTGCGACGACTTGGCCGACAATTCGGCCAGTCCAACCACAGGCTCCTCGCCCAACTGAAGCGACATTGCTGCTAGATTGACTGTTGACAAGCTTGTGCTGTCATTGCTTCGCGAATTTCCAAGACTGGAGGCTCGATTCCACCTCGTCCTGGACACAGAGTCATCTCTTGGCACCACCAATTGGGCCCACTCAGTCATGCCGACTGAGAAAGCGGAGCTCCCGACTCCGAGCCAGTTCGTTGCCGTGGCTCGACTGGGATTAGAGCCCTCCAAAGGGAATTTGGGTTGCCATACTCTGTCTATGGGGCTTCTGCCAGCCCAGCCCTTTGTCGACTCCGAGCCTGAAAGTTGGTCAGGTCCGACCAGACCGGGCACCTGGGGCAGCAACAAAGCCGATTCAGTTGTCGAGGCGGAGGGTGATGCGGACGATGACGAATAGGAGGACGGGGAGGAGGAGGCGGTGGAAGAGGAGGGAGAGGAGGCGGAGGCAGGGACCAGTGTCCCCCAGGGACTAGAGCTGATGTAGTCCAGATTTACGGCCGTCCAGGCGGTCATGTACCCGATAGCGATTGCAATGAACCCCCCGAGATATTTGAGCATATCTTTGTCACGGACATGAACCCGGTGTGCTTTCCTTGATTGGAATCCAGAGAGGACGCTAAAAGACGGAACAGTTGGTGACTTTCACATCATATGGTTTTAGGTCAAAAGTATTAAATACTATCTTTGTTATGAATACAGTACTCCCCTAAATCATCAAACGATTAAATAATCGGAAAAAATATCAGGCAATGGGTGAGATAAATTTAGTCGAATTTAATTAAACCAGGCAACTAAATTATCGGAAAATCATCGTACAAATTAAATAAGATTATGTAGAGTATTGAGGGAGTTTTTCACGCAATGAAGCAAATAAGCTTCATGAGCTCAATGAATTTCACCCTGCCATGCCTCAAAAGGTCTTCTTTACTAGGCTGGACTTCCATTTTAACTTTGCCTCACCTTCTCGTCGGTGCTCTCAACATACTTCGAGAACGGCTGGGGCTTACCATGACGACACAAGTTACCATTCTCCTACACACTTACGGGCGCCATTAGATTAAGGGGCAGATGAAGCCCTTAAAGCAAGCCAAGCATGTCACAACTCACATTTATAGCAAGCATGTTTGCCATTAAAATCATAGGTGTTACCTATATTTATTTTTCGAATTAACAATTGTTTTTCGTGTCTACCATTTAATCAGTAAGATGAGATGTATTCACCCAATTTCGTTTAAGGTGATGAAGGACTGGTAGAAGAAGAATTTTCCCA